TCGTTGACGTAGTAGACGCTGCCGGTGCGGCCGGGGCTGCTGGGGAGGCTGCTGTTTTCGTCGCCGCTATCACGTCCAGCAGCTCGAGAACGGTGGCCTGGTCGATCAAGAGCTCGTCGGCCGACCGCTTCTTTGTGTCTCCTGCCAACTCGACGCCTGCTCTCAGCGGGTCCAAGAAAGCCTGGATCTTGGAGCGGTCCGAGAAGAGGTGGTGTATCACTCCTGGGACGTCGACCCCTCTGGCCTTGAAGAGTAAGCGAACTGTCGGGTGACTGCGGCCTTGTCACACAACTCGTCGAAGGACGCCGGCGTCGCCATCGCAGCCGACCTAATCCGATGAATCTGACGATGATTCAGATCCCTCGGGGGCTGGTGCTTGAGACTGCAGAACTTCGGCGACCGGACTCTCCTCGGGAAAACACACTGGACAGTAGCGAAAACCTGGCAAAAGCGTTGGGTTCCTCTGGCAGCTTGCTTTCCCGTACTTCCAAAGGCCGCACGCTGACCGCCACTTGTCAGAGGGGGACGAACACTCACTAGCAAAAGGCTTGTGTGCCAGTTTGGAGCGAACATTATGTACAAGAACGCCCTGTCCTCGAAAGCAATCGGCGACCACTGCCCTGACCTGGTCGAGAGCTGCCGGCAATAGCGCCAGCTGGCCTGATCTCGGGGCCTGCGAACTTGGGGGCAAAGCCGAAGTCCTAAGTGCAACTGCCTGTGATGCTCGGGACGGGTTAGCCAGGGCAGCCTCCTGAACATAACGATAGATAGCTGCACTTCCCCAACGGCCCAGCAACATGATGACATGTAGGTCGAGGTCGGCCCGTGCGAACAGTTGCGCGCCAGCGACGCGGAAGGCGTGTTGGGCCCACCGCTGCAGAACTTGCCGGGGCCATTCGTGGAGGTCGCCTGCAAAAAGGACCCATGCGAACACGCGGGCCAGCCACACAACCTGGGCTTTGGTTGGTGGGCCCGAACCATCACCGAAAAAGGGTGACTTCGCGCTCCAGCGACCCTGCTTGCGGAGTCGGATCGAACATCGCAATGCTGCGTGATATGCACACAGTGGGTTCCTGCCAAGGGAACAGTCGCATTGCTGCAGAGGCGTGAAGAGGAGGGCCTCGTCTCCACTGCGACCACAGCCTGGGTCATGTGTCCGCGAACAGATACAAGCGTGCGACCGGTGGCAACCTCTCGCCGTGGGGTCTGTCTTCGATATCGGGAGGTTGAGCCTAACGAGCCCTTCCCGAGAAAAGCTGACGTCCTCGCATAAGACAGAGGAAATCTCGAGTCCGCGAAGGAGAAACCAAGCGGCCACAATACCTGTGTCTGAGGGGTATTCGATCCTGGCAGCCCCCGGCACTTGGAGGCGTACATAGGCTGCCTCGATATCTCTGTCGAACTTCCTGGAGCACGCTTCCAAAGGGAAGTCCAGTTTATCTGCCGATGGCCCCATACCCCTTGTGATCGACCCCACGGCTTGAGCAACTGCGTGATCCAGGGCTGGCGACCAGTCGTGTCCCTGCGCCCGGTGTTCCCCTTTAGCCACGCTATAGTACTGGGCTGCCGAGCGGTACCTTGCTTGCTTGAAGAGGGCGCCGACCTTATCGATAAGCTCGACCGTAACCGGGAGAGGGGGAAGGTTCCGTTGCTCTGCGAGGGAGCACCAAAGTTTCCAGCGAGACTCCCTCGGACCTCTGGAGGTCTTTGCGAACTTATCCTCTTGAAAAGCAGCGTCGGCCAAAGCCAATGCACTCTCTGATTGCACCGAGGCGGCAGCACTTCGCGACCCTCGTTGGTACGGATGCACCTCTGGGGCGTCCGCCCTGGACCGAGCGCGAACCACCGACCTGTTGAAAAGCTTGTCGACGGCCGGGTCTCCGATCCACTGCCGTAGCTGCGTCTTGGGGGTATTTTCCAGATCAGAGGCGGACTTAACGCCGTGTGCTCTAAGAGGCTCGAGAGCAGAATGGAGGTCCAAAGACCCCAGCACATGAACTAGGCTCGCGAACGAGGTTCTCTCATGTGGGCACTTGACATGAAACATGACGGCTCGAGACGAGACTGCGGAGAGGGTAAGTGGTATGTGTGCACGAACGACCCCTTCCCGGACCTTCAGAAAAACTGGGCGACCCGGGGAGGGGTGACCGAGACTGCGACCCTAGCGAAGGGAAGTGGGGGGCAGCGCCCGGGGAGGGAGCGAACTAGGGGGGGCAACTACGTGCCTGCGACCTGAAGCGACCTTCCAGATCACTCTGCAACACATGTACACAGGCAGGCGGAAGTGCAAGACCTAAACCTGGCACGACCTTCCCGTCAACAAGACAACTGCGAGCAGCAACCTGCCTGAACCTGGCACGACCTTCCAGTGGTAAGACCTGAACCTTGCACGACCTGCCCGAACTAGAGAAACTACCGCAACTGCACTTGCACGGCTCGCTGAAACATACGACCAAAGAGTGAGGAGCGCGAGTCCTTTGCTTTTTGCTGCGAGCAGCACCGGTGACCCCGTAGGGTTTGCGGCCCGTAGGCGCGAACTATTGTACTCGCTGCAAAAACGCCCCGAACAGAAGGAAGACACTTACTCGGCGAACTAGAGACTGTAAAAGGCTGTAGCGTCCTAAGTGCTCAGCAACCTAAGTGCACATACTCTGGGGCAGCGGCAGCTTGCGACCAAGCGACCTCAGGTACGCCTGGAGTCGAGACGCTTAGCGTTCTCGTGGCACTGCGAATACATGTGGTGCTCGAGCGGCTTCCTGTAACCCGCACGGTTCACACGCGGGCATGCCCTAAGCCAGCAACTCGGACAGCGAACAGCACATACCGACGTCACGTCGTATGGAGGGGGTTCGTCCCTGAACACCACCCCCCTCTCCACGTCTGCCTGCGGCCACGGTGCTAGGAGGCCTCGAGGACCGAATTGCGTGGCCATGATCGGGCCAGACGGGCCGAACGAGAGAGCGGCCTCGAACCTCCGCGACCCGGGTTGCCGCGCTCGCTGCCTGCATCATGGCGATCGCGTCCTCGGCTGTCGCAGGCTGTATGTCGCCTGCGAACATCTGGTAGGCTTGTGCGGGCTTCGCCTTCTTCGCGACCTGCTTGGCTTTGACCGGCGGAGGCGCTGGCTGCGCCCGACCCCCACGACCTTTGCCCTTCTTGCTCACGGGCACGGGGTCAACCTTAGTAGTCGCGACCAATAGCGGCGGGTCCGCTTTCACGACGGCCTTTGGCTGCTGAGGACATCTATTTCGACACGACCATTTGCGGTGGAGGTCCTGTCGTCGGGTCCTTAGACGGCGGCGCACCTGCCTTCTTAGCTGCAGCCACGGGAGCGACCACAGTAGTCGGAGCACCACTGGGTGCCTTCGGAGCGACCACTGCAGCTGTCGTCGTCTTCGGGTCAGCCGCCGCACCAGCTGAAGAGCTCATCGCAGTTGCGCTGTGTGTCCCAGCGTCAGGGTGACCGGCCACGGTGGCGGCAGCTGCGGCCACGGCGTCGGCCTCATCCAGGCTGTGCTCCACTTGCTCGTCTATAGCGAGCTACACCACGCGCCGCAGACGAACCAGGTCATCGAGGTCAAACCTCTGCATAAGGGGACGCCTCTCCTTATCGGTCGAGTGGACGACCGTGAAGAGTGCAGCCCATAAGTCCACCTGCGACCTGTTGGTGGAGTCACCCCACGAGCCAGCCATGGCGCGGTGCTTTCGTAAAAGCAAAAACTCTAACGCTGGCACTTTCCTCGGGCCTTCGCTGCGCGGGCTGCGAACGTTATGCTCGGAAAGTTCTCGCTACGCTTGTCACTACGAACACACGTGTTCTGCACGACAAAAAATCCACATTCAAAACCTCGCATCAACCACTAAATTTTGAACCCATTATCAGCCACGTCGCTAATTACTTACTAGTTCAAATCCACCCCAAACCCTGACTATGAAAACACTTTCTACGACTTGTCGGAACAGGGGGCTTAGCACAGGTCTGTATCATGAAATGTATATATATATATATATATACATATACATGTACATATACAAGTATACATATGTGTAATTAGATCTCCGCTATGAACTATTCCATATATGATCTCCCTCATTATTGAGTACAAGATAGGTGTGGCGGCGCGGTTCAACCAAATATTTCTTAAATAGATATATTATAACCGATTTAGTCGATACCTTCGCAGCTCGATAAGTTGTTGAGCTCACAGGCTCTCAGGTAATAGTTCCCGTACAGCGTCCTCACCTGGCAGTTGCAGACATGCATGTTCGCAACGGTCGTTCAGATACAAGCGTTGGGTGAAGCCAGCAGCACAATGTTGCAACGTCTGGGTCTTGATTCTTGATTTCACGAGTAAGCTAAACTCTGCTACCTCAATCGCATAAACAGTTGGTGACGGCAATACTGGAGTCAAGCATCTCCAAGTACCGTCAATCTGTACAGCTTTGCTGTTCCAGACTTTTGGGGCTGCTCTCATACCATGACCAGTGTATTCGTCTGACCGGCCAACTTGAGAGGAATCCTGACGCCAAGGGCAGTCATGATGTCCAACCACAGCTCACTGAGTGGTGACGGACGGACAAGCCGCAGCACATCATTCAGTGTCCTCACAGTGGAGCCGATCCTTGGCAGAACATGTGCAACGTGATGTCAGTCCGTCCCCACCGACGGCTTGGATTTCAACAAGTTTCGCGGTGTTGATCTTGTCTTCCACCTTCTTCAAGATCTTTGGAGCATCAATCCTCTCCACCTGGTAGCGAAGCTATGTACCATGCCATCATAGGCCATCCGAAGTCTCGAATGAATCAGAGGCAGTCGCTGCATCACACTTGTGAATGTCCAAGAGGCCGTGTTCAGAAGCGACTGTAGCTTGTCCTTCACATGCCTCTCCACGTAGCCGCACCTCATTCCAACATAATTATCCCCATCAAACCTATAACCTTCGCCAGTTTCTAGACAGCGACAGCAATCAATCCATGTCAGGAAAGGACACCTTCGTCTATTGCGGCAGCATCCCAACCCTGTCTAGGTCTACAGGCAACAAATGAGCACACTGCTCAGCCAAGCTGCACCGATGCGATCTCGATACCCAAAATCTTGATCTTGCAGCCATCTGCAGTGATCTTGTCAACATTCCTGCTTTTCGGTCATGGCTCATTGCAAAATATCGACAAGCTTTTTGGATGCAACATGCGCAAGAAAGTGTGCACCGAGGTTGCATTCACAATTCCGAAACACTCCGTGCGTGCGTTGACGATCAGAATTTGCTTTGCGCGTCATCTGGTCAATCGGAATGCCAAATGTGACTGTGCTGCATGCTGTCTACGCCCTTCCATGCAATCCAAAGTCGACACTTATCAGACATGCAGAGCCCGAACGAACATGGACTCACATCGCGCTGCAGTCAAGAGTCCACTTCAGCACGGTTCCAACAACATCAGCATGGAAGTTGAAGGAAAGGTACCATGTGCTGTTCCTCCAAAGAAAACACAAAATCTCAAGCAAGCAAGGGCAGGCTGAGCTCTAGACTTGCTCCAAACTACGATCTCCGGTGAAACAACAGTTATACGCATCCTTGAGTAAAGGTAGCCTGGCAGTAAGAGATGTAGGGAAAGGGTTCCCAGTTGTTCTGCAGACGTTCTGGGCAATGCCAGCGTAGCCTAGCTAGTTCTGTTGGACACAGCTTCTGCAAACAAGGCTCAGATACTCCAAGTGGGCGTTGCTGGCTGTCATATTGATGCCGACGCCGTTCTGGCCATCAGAGTCCTTGTGTGATATTTATTGCGACATTAGGATCACTTCTGAGCCGGTATGCAGCGGAGAGACCTACCAGCTTGGAACTAACGAACTCGGCACTCGTGCATGCGAGTGACGACGCTGAGGCCCATCGTTTTCCTTAGCTCAAGGTCGAAGCATTTGACGAGTTGCATAGATTTGGTTGCTTGGCTTTCGTCAGCAAGGGAACGAAAACAACAAGCCACCCCGTGTTTAGGCCATACCCGAGTGCTGGATTTCTTGGTCTCCCTGACAAGCAGCTTCCCGACTGAGTGCGAATTTGAGGGGACAAGCTGCTTTACCTTCACCCTGCCACCCTCCATGTATCAGCAGTGAATGCCTTTGTTGGTCGTTGGCGTTCTCTGAAACGGTTCTAGGAGGCTCCGCGGACAAGTTGGTGCAAAACGCAAAACTCGTGGCTGGGACACGCAAGTTTGGAGCAAAGCGTGCATTGGTCACCGACTTCCACAATGCCTCGACGAGGTCGAGAATTGCACGAGGCTTCAAAGCCTGCTGTGGTAGCGGGTGGCTGCCCTGACTGGGAAGCTGCTTCAATCGCGGAGTGACGAGATGGGCGTCAATGTAGCAGCTCGGATGGCCGGTATGCTACCTGGCTTGCCCTGAGCCACTCGCATCCTCTCAAAGACTGCCTCTTCCCGGTTGGGTTAAGAGTAGTCAAGAGGCTTTCAGGGCGCACAATTGGCTCTTGCCCATGGGCAAATGGTGGAGCTTATCGCAGACACTATTCCAAGTCACGGACTCGCCAAGTCAGCCAGCGGAATGCAACCGAATCAACAAGGCCGGTTGAGCTCCAGCACACAAATGAAAGGTGTCTAGCTGGGCATCCCACACCTAGAGCAGGCAAGGCGTATTCAAGTTTTCGGAAGATGTAGCCAGCAAGTTGAACGAGTGACAACATCCGTTGCATCAGTGAAAACCGAAATCAGCCAGGCTGCCCATCACTTTTGTGCTTCTGAAGTGCATTCAGTGTCATGTCGTTCTTGTTGTCTGTTTTGCCCGAGTGTCAGGATGAGTTGCCATCTGCTGGTTCTGCTGGGGCCGCTTGGGTTCGGAGTCCGGACACGAGGCACCGTCACCGTCGGGGTGAAGACACGACCGCTGCCTCACCGACAGCCAGGCTTCCTTGGCCGCGTGGCAGCTGCGGCTTGCTTTCGAGGCCTTCGGTGCCTTGCTTGGCCCGTGACGGAGAAGTTGCGTTGCAAATCTGCAAACGACTTTCATGGTTGGTCTGAGCGAGCTCTGGCTAAGCTTCCCCGGCTGCACTGCCCTTGCCGAGAGGGCTTGAACATAACTTCCAGCCTCAGCTGGATGGCTAGGACAGCTTATCAGCTTATCCTCCTCGATCTCCTTGTCTTAAGCTCTCTAGCAAAATCCTTCGTCTAGCGGAGCTCCCCTCCAGGTTCACTAGCAAAATCATCCAGTAAAGAGGAGCTGGCACCAGCAGGTTGAAGACCTGATGTGCAAGGAGGGTCGGAGCGAACATCGCCGGTTTGCTCCTCGACCGAAAATGGATCCGGAGGCAGAGGCCACGCTGAGGACACCGTGTTTCGACAGCAAAGCATGCAAGTGCAAGATGGATTGTCCGTGCCCGTGCAAGCTATCGAGTGATCTGGTGAACCTGGCGAACGATTTCCGCGAGAAGAACACCAAACGCAGGAAGCACAGTACTTTGCCCGGCCCCGAATGGCACAAAGTCATCGAAGTACCAGACGGTCGCAAGGAGACACAGCTTGTCCTGGAAGTGCCCGCTTGACACTCGATTTCTTGCCACACATCGTCCAGCACTATGCAGCGCTTCGCTCATCGTCCGGAGGGCCGAAACGATTTCAAAAGGAAACATGAGGGGAAAACACGAAGCAAAGGGATTACCTGAAAGAAAGCGGTGCTTTCGGGGCGTCGAAATCTTGGCCAAGAGTCCTGGCAAGCTGAGTGCAGTGGTGTCCAAAGATGTGCTTCCCGATGCGAACACGGACATCACCTTGCATCACACAACCCCAGGATGTTTGCTCATACGCAGGATATACCAGGCTTCGGAAAGCCGTTGTTTGATGATCCTGTACACAGGTCGTAAAGAAGGAGTGCTAGGCGGCTAGGGCTTACAGAACATCGGATGTCCACGTGCAGAGATCAACAGCCACCTCCAGAACTCGCGGCTGCCTACTTTGCGGACAGGCTGCCGCCGATGTCCAAAATCGCATCAAGCTCTGCATCGATGAACACCGAGACAGACTTCCTGAACCAGAAGCGCCCAGGCGAAAAAAGCAGATGTGTTCATGGCGAAAAACGAAGAGTCTGGCGGACTGGCAAAAAATGCGGCCAGTGCACCACGAAACCTTCAGGCCTCCCGTCAAGAAGCCTTGGCTACTGCATCACCACACTTGTAACGCAGCACATTTGAGGCTTCTTGAAACGGAAGGGCAGCTGAAGAACTTGAGTTTTTGATGTCGCCCTTGGCATGGCCATTGAGTGCCTCGACCTGACAGAATGAGTTTTGGAAACCCATGGCACTCATATACCTGATTATACTTGTATGCTGTATATCATGGACCTCTATACTCCAGTGAAAAGTAGCTGTGACAGCAGTAGGGCTCCGTGTCGAAACGTATCCGTTTGGTATGTCAGTCTGGATCCCGCAAGAGACCTTGTGGTTGCAGTCATCGTCGATGGTTGTGTCAGGGAAGTGCTCTTCAATGATCTGGCAATGGTGGTAAAACTCACACGAAAACAGTGTAGCATGGCAGAGTGACAGAGTGAGGCTACATTGCATGCAGGGTGCAATGTCTCCAGACTCTATCTTGATAGCTGATTCTGCCTGCTTAAAGAAAGCACCTCGGGCGGCAAGTTGATCAGACAGATTGCCGGCAGAAGCTCTAAGATGAACGCACTACTGCCTAAGACCGCAAATCTAGAAGGTGCAGCACAACTTGGAAACGGCTGGGCATCCCTTCAGTCAAGCATCTTAAATGAGGCAGAAGTAGCGATGTTGCCAACCTCCAGTTCGATTCTTCCAGCACGCAGCTGCATGTGAAATGCCAACAGCAGCTTCTACCATTTTCTGAAACAGAACCCTGGCATGATGCTGCGACAGCTGAGCATCGCAAAGCAGCTGTGGTCTGTTTGTTCTATTCTAGCAAATTCCAGCAGTTGCACGCCAAGCGTCCCGTCACGAGGACCAGTGGAGTTCAGCTTTGCAAACTGATCCTGTGGCGACACAGTTGCAAGCGGAAGCCTTCCATCGTGTGCTCGGTCCTGATACGGAACCCATGTGCCCGAAACGATTTACAGAGTATGAGCCACTCAGGCTACATACACCCAAGTTCAAGTCCGGACGAACCCTTCGAATTAGCCAAAAAAGCCCAGCCGAGCAGCACAGTTCAGAGCCATGGTTTGAGTTCGCACGTCACATCACGATGATGTAATGTGAAAAACGAACTAGTCAAGCCTTTGAGGTCTGCTGGAACATAGCCTTTATCCTTCACATGCCCTATCACCCACCGCACGCCTTTAGATAATGCCCATGATTACACCTCTTGGTCTATCATGGTGCGACGACTCTTCAATCAGACAATACACGAATCCCGGCTGCAAGGGAGCCAGCATCACCGGTTTTTCGAATTCTCTGAGCATTGCACGGTATGCAAAGTCCGCGCAATCCAACTTTGTGTAGGCCAGTTCGCACATCCAACCCCGAACCCAAGACAATCCCATCACGAAGTCGCATCTTTCAATCATGGTCCTTCGTCAGCTCCAAGGACGTGATGGGAAATCCGCTGACGCCGGTCGCAAACAGGCCAAGTACCTCGCGGTTCAATTTTAGCAATGCGCTCCGAAAGAATGCAAAACGAATCTGCATTCCGTGGCACTTCGGTGGCTCTTCAAGCCTAAAGATCTGCCACATAGGCTTGAGTCTCGGGCCTGCCAGAAAACTCTTGGCGCCATGACGGACGAAATTCCGAAACTGCCGAAGCTGCTTGAGCCTGCTTATGCCTAGAGCTGCGAGAGGCTTTGCAAACACTTGCATGAAGCTTTTCGGCAAGTCTGGGTAGAGCGGATGTGGCAGGGATGCGTCTGAAAGCTCCAGACAGGTCCGGGCGCACCACTGTGGGACTGCTTGCACTCAACACGCCGTTGAATGCAATCACGAACTTGCCCTCCTTGCAACGTCAGATTGATCTTGACCGCCTTGCAATGAGCCAGCATAAGCCAGCGTTGATAAGACTGTCAGGCAGGCTGTGCATAAGGTCCTCCCAGGTGTCATGCTGGAAGCGGGACGTTATCGGATGGTAGGAGTTGAAGTGGGACCTGCTGCTCACCGGTTCGCTATACCATCCTGGCAAATCCTTCGATCTTGCTTCTCAGCCCCTGACTGAGGGGCGACTCGAACTTCCGGCGGATAGACCTAAAGTTTGCTTAAAGCTCATGCATTGTGCCGCCGTGAAAACAGGGACGAATCAAGCACTGGCTTGAGTGAGCTCCTTGCACCATGAAGGTCATCTTCCCCTTTGGCTGCCCACTCCTGTGACCGAAAGAAATCCCTCCCCGAAGGGTCTGCCCGGCACACCGTGAAGCCCGCATAACACACAGTGCAGCTGCAGGTGCGGCATTCAGACTCCGAAAGAAAGTCCTCCAAATCTTCCGACGCAAACTTCCGAGGGTTGTCCTGCCCGCAGGATGCCAGAAAAATGCTAGTTTCGCGGGTTTGGCTACGGTGTTGGCTAAAATGTGGAAAGACCAGTCAAACAGATATCGGCATGGCACAAACACACGGTGTGCAAATAATTGCCCGCCAAGGGACCTTCAGGAACTGCCAGGCAATTGCTGCGTTCTCCCACCTGAGATGCATCAGCTCCATGTGCGTGTGTATACCAATGCATACATATACGCAGAGACGTTTACCAAGATGGGAGTCTCCACCAAACTCTTAGGCTCAGAAATTTGCTGCACTGATTCGGCAAGACTGGCGATTGGTGCAGCAAACTGGTTTGGTGGATGGAAACATCTTCACGCATGCATGCTGTCTACAATGCTGCGTGCGTACGCATGCTTGTGACGCTGTCGTAGCTGACATGTCTCTGTGTGTGTGTGTGTGTGTGTCGCCTCGCACGTGTGTATGTGCTTGCATGCACATAGGCAGCAAGGAAAGACAACGCTTGAATCCTGTCCTGCGATGATGCCCGAGCAAGACTCGGACCAAGGATGGTTGATCCATGGAGAATCATCCCCACCTCGGTCGCACTTTCAACGGCCGGACCGAAAGGCCTACGGGCGGAGCCACTGTGAACCACAAAGTCGTATCATGTGCAGACCACAGCCACACACACACACACACACACACACACGCACACACTTTACCTCTTCTTGCATTCCCTTGTTCTTCACGGTATGAAGGTCCGTGACGACGCCCCGTGCTCAGTGGCGCCCCCGGTTTATGTCCTTGGGAAAGTGAAACTCCTGTGGGACTAATTGTCATCCTCCGAGATTGCAGCTTCTCCTGATCGAATTACCCCCTCTGTCAAGCCACTGTCAAGCCTCAGTGCACCTGAACTCGCCCCCTCTAACTCGAACGGAGAGTTGAGAAGACAAGTAGACACACACACACACGCCGCTTCCGGCTCCAAGCTTTTCCAGCTGCCCGGAGGCGCACAACTTGGGCGCCCTTGCAGGACACGACTGCTGGCTCGCGTCTATGAGCCTCGTGCCTCCTAGGCCCCTACAGTAATGGCCTCTAGATCATCTTCCGACATCTGGCATGGAAGAAGAGGAGGAGACGACGAAACAAACGTGCATGCAGATGACTAGTGGATAGAACATAGCCTCTTCTTTCTTCGGGAGCTGGACAGGGCTAAGCCAGGAGCCCCAGACTCGCTCAAAGAGCTGCTCGGCCTGGGATCTTCGTGATCGCTTGATTGGACTGGACTGGGGCACCTGAAAGTTTCGAATCCTTGTTGAGAGGTCTTTACACGGCGCATGCTTCTGGAACATCAAGACTCGTAAATTGAAAGAAGCGTGACCTGGATCCCCGTCCGCCTCCGATGGCTAGCTGCCACTAGACAAGGTCTCACTAGGGTTTCCTTTTCAGCTGCACCTTGGCTGGACAAAAGTTTGCCGCGAGTAAGGATCCCAAGACCAGCCCTCTATCTACACTAACACCAACAGCATGCTTCTGGCCGCCATCACAGGACGTCACTATCAAGATGCGTGTGCATTGTGCGCACATGAGTCTGAGACCCATCTGGTTCCTTTGACGAAGAAGATGCCCGTGTTGAGCATGGCGCTGTCTTCGCTGACAATCATATGCACCTGCTACCGAGGCGTGTTGTCGAGCATGTCTGCTTTCTCTAGCCTCGACTTCCTACGAATCCAGGTGCTGTTCTCGCAGTCGGGCTTTGAATCTTCGCTGCAAGTCTGGAGACCCATCGACACAACACGCTTAGTCAAACTATACTAAGCTTGCATTCAACGTGCTACGCTGCTACTCAATCATGAAATCACTTGGTGCCTCTGGATCCAGAGTGAGCTCACCTTAACCAAAGGTCTGTGCGCATCGCGGTGGCCCAAAGGTACGAGTCCAGGAAGCAAAGCTCCCCGCCGCTCTCGTCCCTTCCAGCATAGGTGAAGAGGATGCTCTCCACAGTAATGCTGGCGAAACACAGGCACAGTTTGCTCTGGGCACAAGCAAGTCGGCTCTTCCAGAGCCTCATGTTCATGAAGTAAGTGTCGCAGTCTGCCCAAACGACCTGGCAGAATCCAGAACGGACCTCCATATACGCGAACATCCTGTAGATCTCAAGGTGCAAACCTACGCGGCTCTGTCAGCAGCACCTTCTCCATTCCGAATGACGAAGGCTGTGTGTCCATCCCCCAAGCGGTTTTCGTTGAATCGAGAAAAAGGTTCAAAGCAGCAGGAGGCTGAGGCACAAGCCCAGTCCCACTTCCCAGACTTGACTTCTCTTTCCATGAGCCTCATATGACATATGAAGCAGCAGGCCACTCAAACTGGCGAACTTGCCATGGCGATGCTTCTAACGGCCAGGACACTTTATCTTTCCCCAGGCTGGTGGCCTGGCGAGTCCACCAGGCAGGACAGCGGGAGCGAACTCCAGTCATGTGGCCTCTGGGAATCCACACGGCTCGTTTCTAGCAGGTACCTGGCAAATGCAAGTTCCCGTTGCTGCTTCATCGCAGGGTCTGCCGCGTTGCTTGAATGCAGCTTAGCAAGCCCTTCCCGAAGCCGCACGTGCCCAGTAAATCCGCTAAACCCCAACCCATACAGCAATAGTTCACACTCATCCGGAGCAACCGTGAACATCTCGAGTGTCTTTGTCTCCGCACGCTTTCGCTCAGGCGCTTCATTGAAATCCATGAAGTCGCCCTCAGATCGCACTGAGCATCTCAGCACCTGAGTTACTCATAGATGGGGGAAACTCCTCAGATATCAACTCGCGTATCCGAGCCAGGATTGAACTTCAATGCAGCTCGGGTTCAAGAATCAAGATTCTTAACCAGAGTGCTTCGTGAACTTTCTGGCTTGTAAGAAATCTCGCTTGCAGAAGATTGCGCGTAAACCATGCTTGCGGGGGCTACGAATACATGGTCAGGCGTCTGGCGTTCCCAGCCCCCCCCCCCCCCAATGGTATGGTCTGATAGGGGTGGGGGGGGGGGGGGGCCTGGCGTGTGCGGAAAGGGGTTGGGGGCCGTTGGAGCTGCCACTGGATGGTGGAGTGGTGCTGGCGGCCAGGGCTCACGCGCAAGCCCTTCGCAAGCAAACCGTAAACCCTATAACGCAGCGCGTGCCCCTGTTTTGAGCAACCTAACTTGTACTTAAAACGCTACACCCAACCCTAAACCCCACCTAACTGCAGGCTCTAAGCCTAAAGCAGAGCATACACCGCAAATCCTCCCTAAGCCCTTGTCGATTCGAAGCCTTATACCTTATAACCGTAAACCCAAAACTCGAAAGCTTAAGCTAAACCCTGAACCCCAAAACCCCACAACCACCCCACAGGGGGAAGAGGAACCCCACACCCCACACCACAGGGGAGGGGGGGGCCCCACCCTATATCCTGACCATTGACCTTTGGGGGGGGAGGGGGGGGGGGGGGCTGCGGAGCGCGTGACCATACATGGGTGACTCGACATATCGGCACTTTTCGCCACATGTGTCTTCAACGACTCTTGCACACGTTCAAGTCCAGCAGTGTCTCTAGCCCCGCGACCATTCAATAACAGGACTTATGAAAGCACATCTGAGGCTGTACGTTCTCAAAGAAGGATCCGTGCATGATGTCCACCGGAAAGTGCTGGCGTAACCAGAGGGGTTTAGCACAAAATGAAAAAATCTATGTGTGTATATCTATATATATATATATGTATGTATTTGAATTGTTCAGCTGTTGTCAGCTGTATTTACTTATGTGTTGCTTTTTATTTGCAAATACATGCATGATGCCGCCATGGCTATTGCTTGTTTGCTTCGCGTATGTATTAATTCTGTATCTATATTTATATAGTCTTTGCAGACCTGTCTATTCATGTATGAAGATGCCTTTATGTACGTGCAATGCGGTAAAACAAGCTTGCATGCTGCCGTGTAAGGCAGTGCAAAAACATCTGGTGCATTGGCCACCACATGCTCTCTCCCGCCAATGTAGTGGAGCCGAGTTCGCTGAGGGACGTTCTGACCCGCTGCCGAGATACAGTTGCCAACACTGTTCAAGTAAACGAAGACATCGGTACCATACCTGCAGCATGCTCAGGGCTGAGCAAAGCAGCAAGCATTTTCAAGACCTCGAAATGGCTTCTTCGTAAAGACTGCGCGCCACCCGCTGGCCTGGGTAACGTCTGCAGCTTCAGCCGACCTTCCCACTTCCACTCACCATCCATTCAGAATGTCAGTCTGCCAATGAGAAACAAACAATGGTATGTTATGGCACTGGAATGCTGACATGAATGGCTGAAGCCTTCAGCATGCCCGCCTCCCAAGTATTCTGCATAGAGCCGGCTCAACGGCAGTCCGCAGCCGAGCCCTGCTAGAGGGGACCTAGCGAAATGTCCATAAAGACTGACATGTTCTGGATCGGGGGGGGAAGCAGGCACCCGTGGATTTCCCACTCCTAGCCTAAGGAGAATTCGATGCTCCTGGGATGTGTCCTCGTCCTGGTCCAAGAGACCTCACTCATTGCTATCTCGACATGTCGGCGACTCTGCACCGAATACAAGTCGACCTCGAGTTCGAAAGTCAGCCTACATGCCGACATGCTGCTGTGTCCAGGCTGCATTGACATTTCCACATGGCGGAGCCTCGTAGGAGCATCCACCGATTCCCTGCCATGGGACGATGCAAGACTGTTGACCCAAGAACTACGCACATGTGCGAATTAGCATCCAGACTTTCAAGCAGTCCAGGAACAGTATCAGTGCCAACGAACTAGCTCATCTGTCTTTACCGCGCCTGGTGATGGGAACATCCTGCGGTTGGGCAGTGGTGTAGAGGTATGACCAGACCCGGGGGAGTCTGTCCACAGGTATTCCACCTGAAACGGCTGTTGACATTTGGTGATCAGAGACATCTTCGCACTGTCAATGACGTGTATGCTATACTTTGATGACACACTCGGTGCGGAAAAACACATTATCAACAGTGAGAAGACATGAACAAACCCGCCGAATCCTTGTGCATCCACGAAGCGCCTGTCGCGAGCACTCAGTGTCCGGTGCCAGCTGCGGCAAGTGTGGCGCGAAATACGATACACTGAAACGTTGCAAGATGTTGACGGCGCAAACAGATGCGACCTGCGACTGCGGTGTTGTTTGGATTCAACTTTAAATGAGTTGGGCAGACTAGTGACGATCCAGCCCTTTCAACTGCTGCCGCTGTGCTGCTGCTGGCCGCGGCGACCGTGAACGTCACGGCCTGTGATGTCCGGAAACTATTGCGCAGTTTCGGAAACCTTGTCCGTTCGGCTGGTCCTTTGGCGACCTCCTCTGATTCGGGTCACTTCTAGCATTCTGATTCTGTCTCCACTTGCTCTGCTTCTCGCATGCTGATCCCTGTTGGCGTCCCGAGGTCATGGAACAGCTGACCATTACGTCCTAGCCGCTGGACGCGCACCTACAACAAAAGGCTCCTCGACATTCACCCGGTCCGTATCCCCTGTTACGAACTCGTGACGTAAGAGCTACGCAAGATGTGCAGGCACATTTCGTTGTGAGAACCTGTTGACATGTGTTGTGGTCAGGCACTGCCTCCAAGATCATCCTCATCTCCGGACAAGAATCAATCTCCAATCACACCACTGCATGCATGTTCGCCCGAGAGCCATCACCGCTGCCGTCGCGACACACGACACAGGGCTCTCGTACAGTACTGTGCCCGCAGAAGGAGGCGCTGCGAGCTTCACTCAACTTACCCGGTCGGAACGCCGCTTGATATTGGAAATCTTTCTTAACTACACTGTCACAACTGTCCTGGGAACAAACTGAGTATTCCAGATTTCTGGTTTGGCTCCGACATAACCGATGCATGCTGAAGCAGCTAGCGCAAGCCACACGGATGCATTTGTTGCTGGCCTCCTGTGTCGGAGATGCGGACACTAGTAACGCCTCGCCCAGTGCAGACCTTGGCCAGGTTTCCCCTGCAGTCTGTTTTCAGGACGCCCTCACAAAGCAGAAACAATGCAATCCTGCAAGGCTCCCGCGACCAAAGTAATCGGCACCATTTCAGAGCCACCAGCGAAGGAATGCTGCTCCACGGTCGCCCGAACGGCGTTTTTCAGCAGCTCAGACAGGATGTAAAACATGTAGCGTGGCACGAAGGTGAAGGGTACCTACATGGAAGCTGGCTTCAACAGATATTCACTGCATTTCACTGGAGATCCTCACGATGGCGAGTTGCGGCCCCTGCATCTGTCACGATGATTTTCGGCGCGCTGCCGTACCACTCGTGGCAGAGGTCTTGGATCACGTTAGCAGCATGCTCGGCGATCTTTAGAGGATCACCTGGACTGGCGGGCGGCAGGCGGCAGGCGGCAGGCGGCAGGCAGTCTCTGGCTGAGCAATGCCACACTGCAAACAAGCTGCACTTGGTGCTGATAAAGCTCTGGTATGGGTCAAAACTCGCATCAGCCTCGCCTTGCACCGTCTGCAGCCCACTGCGAGAAAGGACAGTCACCCGTCTGCAGCAACTCTTCTCAGACGAGTCGCTGCCCTGTGACGCGTCATTCGCAATCTCAAGGAACTGAGAGATGAGCAAGTTTGTCGATATCCGCAGCTTGAAAAACTGGTCGAGCCTTGGCAAACCAGGCTGCTGCGCCTTCGGCAGCTCGGCAACGCGTGTCAAGTTCATCAGGACGCAGGCGTGCGTTGCCATGAACCGCCCGTCATAGACTCGACCCCATGAGACCTGATCGGATTTGGTAACGAGTGGCCAATCGTTGATCTGCGTCTCCGTCAGCTGCTCTTGCTGCAAATACTCCTGCATCAGTCGAGCCTTTGTTACAACCATCGCAATCACGACCAAACACACCGAGTGTAGGCACGAAGCATGTCTGCTGAGCTGTCCTTGAAGCTCTGCACGAGCAGGTTTGTCCGAGTATGGCGGCGCTTGATCTTTGCCAAGGTCAGCCTTGTCCAGACAGTTACGTGGCTCAGTGTCACATCGGCTGAAAACTGGCACTAGGACACACTCAGCGAAACCGTGGAGGCAGCTTGTCGCATTGCTGTCGGGCGACCTGAGCCCTGACTCCGACATGCCTTCTGCACTGCACAATCGAAGCTCCTGAGGCAGACTTGGGCACGTCGAACACGAGCGATTCTAGTAACCTCCGGAAGTAATTCGGGATCCCACCTTAAAGGACTTGATGTACATCTCACGCACATGCCTGACACAAAGAGCCGTTGCGAGGCAACAGCACGTAGTCGGTTGCCTGCCTGATGCTGTCTTTGCCCTGCCATTCAGGCAAAGCCTTGAACACATGTAGATGAGGGAGCACAAGGTCTTTTCTCTTTGGCAGTTCTCCCCAGCATTGCCCGGCCTCCAACATCGATATGCGCCGAGCGTATCGTACAGGGAGCTCCTGTTCCACGTCTGCGTCTTTCTGTCGATTGTCCTATCTAGGCATGCCTGTTCAGTTTGAACTGCAGCACCTGCCTCGTTCAGTAATGCAGCAAGAGTCTCGGGGCGTTGCCCCAAGTCCATCATGTCACGCACAGACAGGCTGCGAGCCTGTATTCCACGCAGAGAGCGGTGCACCCGCCTGCAACCCTGCACACCTGCTTCACACCCGCTTAACTGCGCGCCTCCTGCATAGACATAGTTGTGATCTCTGCCTCCAGCAGCTGATCAAGACGGCCCTCGCCTTGGAGGTAAAAAAAGCGCTCCAAGAAAGTGAAAAGACACGACACGAAGGGCACGCACTTATGGCCACGTTGTTCCGTGGTCGCAGAAGGCCCAGCGCATAGTTGCGTCGACCCAACCCTCGGGACTGGCAGTGTCGCAACATGTCGCAACATGGCATAATCTACAAGCAAGTCTCTTGACTCATCCACTTCATCTTGCACCATGGTTCATGCGAAACATGCGATAAAGGAACGCCACAAGCTGCGCCCACGGAACTTCGCAAACATTGCTGTGGTAAGCTGGCATCTGGCGCATCCGGACATGACTTGGCCAACTCTGGACATGGTTCGGAAGACTTCAGAAGTGCATTCTTTCATCGTACCAAACGGGCTCAGAAGCAAAGGTTGAGCATGTCATCTGCAAGCCGGAGCTCGAAACATTGAGTTGCTGGAATGTATGAGAGCTCTGAGAAATTCTGAGAAGCTTGGGCTTGAGGCGGCTTGAAGCGGCATGGCAGTGCGTTTTCATGTGGCCTCATGAAACCAGCTTCCTGGAAGACCCTCAGGCGCACGAATAGCCATGTTTGGCTGCGTAGGTTCCTTCTGTCGGGCATTGCAACTCAAACAAGTGGTCCTGCATGTCCGTCATTGCAGCTGCCTTGATTGGAAGAGGAGAAGCGCGGCAGTGGGTGGTCCGGTGGATAGGCCTCAAAGCTTGAACCATCTTGAAAGGAGTCTGGCAACTGGCAGCCTACCAAATCTACCAACACCAGGCCCGAGGAGACTGCCAGTCAAGCCGCTGCAGAATGCGAGAGACTGCCGATAACTTCGAAGCTTCGTGCCGACTGCAATCTACTGTTCACACGAAATGCACTGGAAGATGGCCCGAATGTAACCAGCGCGAGAATGAGAGGACTTTTCACCGCTGATTGCCTTGTGTCGGCTAGCTTGTCACTCGCTCTGTCGAGTGACGCACACGGTCTCGGCCGAGGGGTCCGTGTATCGAGTACAACATTGACTGGCCGCGCCGTTGCCAGGATTTGGCCACGTAGCTGCCCGGACAGCATGTGCCCAAGGTGCCCCCTAGTCCCAGCTGCGCATCCCACGCTGTCTCTGAGCTGGAGACCTTTGAAGCTTCTCAGGGCGAAAGGAAGCAGGTGAATGCGAGAGCATCCGAGGCCACGCACCAGGAGCGCGAGCGGCTGGAGCGCCGTCTCCGCGGACTGGGCCTCCGACTGTCCTTCAGCGGTTTAGAATGTAGAGGGAAGGGAGAGCACTTAAATACTGCTGGTTTCGCACGGCGCTGCTGCGCTCTGTTGGCGCTTCTCGTCGCAAGCGGCCTTGAAGTTCAGACGAGAGGCAGAGCGTGAGCGACCCCGAGCGTCGCCTCGACCGCGTCGATCCATGTCGTTGCCTTGGATCTCGAACCGACGAACCGGAGGACATGCATCCCAACATTTCCATTAAGAGCGATGACTTACTGTAGCAGTTTGCACAGTTAGGACTGAGGCATCGGCGTAGCTTCTCGTCGATCATCTCATTGACGAGGCCTGAGATCAGCCGAAAATACCGAAGACCTACTGCCTACAATCTACATCGTTCGATGCGTTAGACTCGCTCGGCTGTGTTTGCCTTTGTTTCTGCTTCGTTTGCGAAAGAGGGCAGTGCATATGCGGACACTCGTGTTCCACATCTCAGCCTGAGATAAAACTACAGTGTAGGACTGTGCAGATATTGCAGAACGAAGCATCTCCTTGGCCATGCCACTACGCAGTCTATCTACATGCGGCTCGCTCTGGCTTCTCTTCTTCTCCCTCAGACATAAGAGGCATGACCCGCATGACCCGCCGAGTCGCAGGCATGGTCTGCTCGGTTGCTTGCAGGATCGTGCATTCACCCATCTGGAGCCCTACCCTGGATAAGGACTGGCTGTGTTTTCGAGAAGCTGCAGCTATCACTGACATGTTCCTCATATTGACCCGCTGCTGTTTGCCGAAGGTTCCAACCTGAACCCTTTCTTCGAAGGCTACATGCCTACCTGGCCTCTTTTCTGTTGGATATGCAGAGAGCAGCAGCACCAACCTCCGCCCCCCCGGTGGTACACTGCACAGGCTCAGCAGTTCACGCGCAGGCACACAAACAACCCCCTCGACCCTTCCCGCAACGTGTACTGCATGCGCCCTTGATCTGCATTGCAGCTCCTTCACTCCTCATGTAGCGCAACGGTTGTATGCTGTTTCTGCAGGCTAGGAGGACAGAACTGCGCACAGCTCCGGCCCCCTGACCAAGGGGCTCGGATGCGACTTTGCGACACCTGAAAGTGAAACGACTTCCGCATGCTTTCTCGCTCGCTCTCTCTCTCTCTCTCTCTCGACCGGGCTTGAGGGCAGAGCTGCGTCCCGGCCCTGCTCCTCGTGCGAAGTTCGCACACCCGCAATCTCTCTCTCTCTCTCTCTCTCTCTTTCTCTCTCTGCGGTGCATGCGCGCCTTTCAAAAAGCTCGACGGCAAGACAGTAATCCAGTAATGAACCACAAGCTAAGCTTCCTCGAACCAAATTTTCTGTCCAGTGGACTGCTTTGTTGCGGCCCCTTCCGAGACACAGAACGTTGTCACCAAGAAGCGCTCGGCGTGCCGACGGCCGCCAATACCAGTCTTGGTCCCTGCAAAGGTGCTGAAGATGAGCAACCTTGTCAGCAGTATTGTTCTGCTTCGCTGTTACTCCTCTGCATCGGACGTTCGAATGAAGCCATTGCGGCTGTCTGAACAAACATATTTCAATAACACTATGACTGTCCACGTGCTCCTACTGTCAGTATCGTCATAGCGGTTCTTACGTTCGTCGGAGCCATTGTCATTATTCGTTTGCGGTTCTGCTTCACGTGAAGATTTTCTTCAGCCAAGCCCGTTTCAAGCCGCAAGAGATCGGGCACGAGCTGCAAGGTTCAATTGCAGCCGAGAAGGAGCCTTTCATCACCTCGCGAGTCCAAGGCCATGAACATGAAAGTGCCAGTCTCCTGTGAAACGCATCAAGGCGAAACGTGCAGTACAGGTCTTCAGGACAACGTGGGCCAGAACAGACATGTTCCATGAGCTCCATGGGCTGTTCGGAAAGGCAAAAAGTTGAATGAATGTTTTGACGCTTGGAACTCTTAAATTACGTGCTAAGCCAGGATAAGCAGGAATGGCTACCATGTCACGTGGACTTAATGGGCTTATGTCGTCTCCTGCTCCATGCGCCGCAGTTCACTTCCGCGGTTGCCTTCAGGAGATGGACAGTCGGACACCAGCTTTCAAGGAAGCGCCCCTGCGATGTGTGGGCCATCAAAAAACTCGCAACAAGAGAAATTGCACTCAGCACGGAAAGCAGCTGATCGAGGCAAAGCCATGCAGTCTGGCACATGATTGTAAATGCGGTGGACATCCGTCGGCATTGCAGCCTGAAGACCTACAGCTACGGGAGAAATTAGTGCTTCGCCTGTAAGGCCTCGAATGCTGTCCAAGCTTGCAAACCGGGCTGCCTGTGACCCAGCCTTTGCAACTGTCGGGGATTTTCACCTTTTCCGAATGGCACCAGCGGACTCGTTGGACAAGCTTCGCATCAAGCTATGAAGTTTGCCTCGGCCACGTCATCTCGCCGAGACAGGTCCTTTCAAATCAAGCCGGATGGCTTGCGACAGACCAGTAGTGGCAGCCCTCCATCTTGTCGAGTTCATGCGACGCATGAGATTCCACTCAGATTGCTGTCCGTGATGGTCACGGACCCGCGTCGCTGTTGCAGAAGCCAATTCACCTTGGTAGGCGGGAAGGTGGTCTCAGCCACAGTGGCTTTTTAATTCCGCTCTATGCATCACACCGTTCTGCACTTGGCTTATGTGAGACAGCTGTTGTTCTGGATTCCCGTCAAAGGAAAAAGCAATATAATGTGATTTTTCCTGCAACGTGTCTCCCATTCGTGCCTACTTCAGCCGAACCTTCGTGCAGCCAGCATATGTAGGTAAACGTCATTTCTGTTGGGAGAGAGAGAGAGAGAGAGAGAGAGAGAGATATATATATATATATGTTTACATATTTATATATGCTCCCCAAAAAACACCTCGAAGCCTCCGCTTGTACTTTCTAGGCTACGCTACGACTCCACTCGGAACAAAAGTCTTGCATCCCACAACCGTTCAAATAAGATACTAAGTGTTGCCGAGTATTCCCTGTCTACGACGACACCACCTTTGTCGAACCAAGATAATGCCACGAAGTATTGTCTACTGTCCTCTGTATACTACGTTATTCGACAGCGGGCTCCTTCTGATTTTCCTTACTTAAAGCATTATCTATAGGGTATGCTATAGGGTATTCTGTAAGGTGTTCCAAAGAGTGTCCTGAAAGGTACTCTAGAGGATATTCTACGAAGTATGTTTGAGGTATACACAAGGTATTTTACATGGGCGGTCTTCTGTAAGGAGTTCCATTACAGGGCATCGCAGGTGGTACTCCGCAGGGCATTTGGCAAGGTATTCCATAGGTTACTCCATAAGGTATTGTACAAAAGGAATTCTATAGCCTATATTTAGGAAGGCATTGCTGTAAGGTATTTTATATGACCTTTTTTAAGGTCTATAGAGGGGGTATTCGATAAGGTAGTTGTGCGGCTGTTCTTCTTGCTTCCTGCTTTTTGTCAATGGAACCCCTTACCCAAAAGCTACAACTCAACTGGGGATTCCTCAGATCCGGGGCTCCGACCGGTTATCCATATTCAAAAACCCTAACTATCTCTCGGGTACTTTATGAAGGATTCTTTGGAGATTTTGAGGGTATTTGATAGGTATTCTATGATTTTATATGGCATACATAAGTTATACAGGAGGTATCACATATAGGCGGTCTTCTATCAGGTGTTCTGTAATGTATTCCAAATGGTATTGTATAAGGTCTATATAAGGCATATCGGGAAATTGTAAGAAGTGTCTTTTTGTAGGCAGCCTAAACGGTCGTCTATAGCTTATAAATTAAAGTATTGCAGAAGCTATTTTATAGGGTATGTATAGGGGTACTGCATAAGGCATTCTGTTCTCTATATGTATCCTTTACTAGATAAGCTTCGATTTGTTCAAGGAGTTCCTGAATCCTAAACTCCACATCTCCATTATATGAACCCCTTACTTGCCTAGTCAACTACAAGTCAGATAAGGCATATACAAGGTATATAGGGTGAATTCTATAGGGTATTGCAGTATTTTACATGAGTTTTGTTTAGTGTTTGAATACATTTGCAAAGTATTCTGATAAACATCCCTTGCTCATTTGGCTACAAGATCTTGGGCTCCTCCTAATTCCCCTCTGCAAACCCTTATCTCTGTAAACACTGTATTCTATGAGCATTCTATAGGGTGTCTATAAGGGGTTCCATCAAGTATTGTACAAAAGGTATTCTATTGGGTGTGTGAAGGGGGTTCCATAAGGTATGTATATACAACGCATATAGGATGTATTCTATATGGTATTGCTTAGGGCATTCTGCTGGAAATCTTGAAGGTATTTAGACAGGGTAGTCTATAAGGTAGTTTATAGGTCGCGCGCAGATTCCTTCAACTTTTCGCCGATTATTCCGTCAACCACTGCCCGCGGATTCTGTCAACCCGCCAACGCGGATGCCTTCAACCTCAAAACCTGATTCCTTCAACCTCAGAACGCAGATTCACTCAACCACGTCCCCGGGAATGATTCCTTCAACCCAAACAACTGCTTCGTTCAACCTATACAGAAAGAGTCGCTCCAACTACAGACACGCGTGCTACCCCAGCCACGAGGACTTACTCAACCACAAACACGCGGATTCTTGTGCCCCGGGTTTGTTTTTCCTACAAAAACAAACTCTGGGGGGAGGATTTTGTTTTCACTAGGAAAACAAACTCCGAAGGCGGGGTGCAGGGGAGTGTGTTTTTTCCTACAGAAAACAAACTCTGGGGGGAGGGCTTTGTTTTTCCTACCAAAAACAAACTTTGGGGGAGGGCTTTGTGTTTCCTACAGAAAACAAACCCTGGGGGGAGGGGTTCGTTTTCACTAGGAAGAACAAACTCCGAAAGGGGGGGGGTCCAGGCGAGTTTGTTTTTTCCGCAAAAAGAAACAAACACTGGGAGGAGGGGTTGGGTTTGTTTCGCCGGAAGAAAACAAACGTTTGCGGATCATCTTTTGGTTGGGTCACGAAGAGCCAGGTTGGGGAGGCGAGGAAAACAAACCAACTTGAAACTCCGTCTCGACGAGTTTGTTTCAGCGGGTACAAACAAACCCTGACCAGGTGAGTTTGTTTCAGCGGTGAAAAACAAACTCCTATGGGGGAAGTTTGTTTGTTTCAGTGATGCTAGGGGGAGTGGTTTGGGCGGCGCGGGGGTACAGGAGGATTTGTTTTTCCTACAAAACACACTCTGGGGGGAGGGTTTTGTGTTTCCTACAGAAAACAAACTCTGCGGGGAACGGTTTGTTGGTCCAAGGAAAAACACACTCCAAACAAACTCCGAGGGAAGATGAACACACTCGGAAAGTGGAGGTTGTCCTTCCTACAAGGATTAGCCGCACGAAATTGTCTCAAGGAGCTACAAGCAAAGAAAAGAAAGTAAATACTGCATAACCAAAAATTAATTGAAAACGTTATCTCCAACACGAAGAATTCAGCACACGAAATCGCTTCCGGGGGTCAGAAGCGACGAACAAGATTCGACATTGTATAGCAGTATAGCAGAACATTACACAAAAACGTCTTTGCCAACACAAACGAAGAGGCCACATAAAATCGCTTTAGGTGGGCTAAAAGCGAAGAACAAAGTAAATAAACAACATTTCATCAATATGAAGGAAGAAGCCACACAAAACCGCTTCAGAAAGGTACAAAGCTAAACAAAGAAGTGGCGCTTGTCTTTTTTACAAAAGAAGAAGAGCGTCACGAAATCGTTTCAGGAAGTCCGAAGCGAACGTCTTTTCCAACACGATCGAAGAGGCCACACCAAATCGCTCCAGGGGCGTGAAGAGCGAAGAAAAAAGCAAATGAGGTACAACCGAAAATTAAAGCAAAACATTTCATCAACATGAAGGAAGAAGCCACACGAAATTGCTTTAGAAAGGTAGAGGAGAAGTGAAGCTCGTCTTTCCTACAAGAAGAAGACGAGCCGCACAAACATTTCATCAGCGTCAAGGAAGAAGCCACACGAAATCCCTTTAGGAAGGCAAAAAGAGAAGAAAAGTGGAGCTTGTCTTTCCTACAAGAATAAGAAGGAGAGCTGCACGAACTCGCTTCAAGGGGTTAAAAGCGAAGAAAAGAAAGTAAATTCTGTATAGCTGAAGAGTACACAAAAACGTCTTTTCCAACACGAACGAAGAGGCTACACGAACTCGCTTCAGGGGGGTCAAGAGCGAAGAAAAAGGTAAATGAAGTACAACGGAGAAGCCATACGAAATCGCTTTAGAAAGGTAAAAAGCTAAGACAACCAAAATGATATAAAGCGAAAACGACACAAATTTCCAACACAGAAAAAAAGCCATACGAATTGTGCCTACCCGGGACTCGGAAAGTTTGTTTTTTCTGTCTTTAAACAAGACTACGAAAGTTTGTTTTCTGTGTTTAAACTAAATACAACCTATAAAGGGTTTGTTTTCCATGTCTAAACTAACTTGCGCCTACCCGGGACTCCGAAAGTTGGTTTTTCTGTGTTTAAACTAAATAAACCCAATTCAAGCTTTGAATTCAATGTCTAAACTAGCTTGCGCCTACCCGGGACTCCGAAAGTTTGTTTTTCTGTGTTTAAACTGAATAAACCCTACAAAAGGTTTGTTTTCCATGCCTAAACCAACCTGCGCCTACCCGGGACTCCGAAAGTTTGTTTTTCTGTGTTCAAACTAAATAACCCCTACAAAAGGTTTGTTTTCCATGTTTAATTTAACTGGTGCCTACCCGGGACGTCGAAAATGTGTTTTTCTGTGTTTAAACTAAATAAACGCAACAAAAGGTTTGTTTTCCATGTCTAAACTAACCTGCGCCTACCCGGGACTCCGAAGGTTTGTTTTTTTGGTGTTTCAAGTAAATGAACCCTATAAACGGTTTGTTTTCCATGTCTAAACTAACTGGTGCCTACGCGCGACTCCGAAAATGTGTTTTTCTGTGTTTAAACTAAAGACTGCGAAAGTTTGCTTTCCTGTGTTAAACTAAATAAAACCTACAAATGCTTAAACTAACTTACGTCTGCCCTATTTGTCAATGCGAGACTGGCAAAAGAGCGGGCGAAATGCTTAGATTGCAGTGTAGTGTTGACGGAAGCGGGGGGGGGGGCGGAGTTGACGGAATGAGCAGTTGATGGAAGCGGGCAATGGGGGTTGACAGACTCGGGAGTTGAGGGAAGCGGGCGATGGGGGTTGAAAGAATCGGCACGATCTGAGTTGAGGGAAGCGGGGAACATGGTTGAAGGAAGCGCGGTTGACGGAATCTTGGTTGACGGAACCGCGCGGAGTTGAGGAATGAGGCTTGTACCGTAGTTTATAGGCTTTCTTCTACTAGTAGGGTTCTTGATTTCCTTCATAAGAATCCCGCAGTCAATAAGGTACAACTCAAATGGACATGTTCAGACCTTGGGCTCCGACTGATATTCCATGATTTAAACCTGTGTTTATAGGTTACTCCATAAGACATTCTATAGGGGAGTCTAGACAGCTATTCTATAGGGTATTCCATAAGGTGTACATGTACATATAAGGTATACAGGGTATCATTTTTTCAATCCGAGGGTCTGCTATAAGATGTATATGGGTTCT